AAGTTGTAATACATTTAACTTTATTGTACTACATTCTATTATGCTAATAAGACTAATAAATTCAATATCAAAGATCGGCCAACCGATTCATGTGTAATTATCACCCACTTGCTTTGGAATCGTCATGACGCATGAGAGTTAAGGGTTGGAAAAATACTTACATGATATCTGATGTTGTAATGCGTTGAAATTAGGTTCAATTTTTCGTGACTTATTATGTTTGTGTACATTCAAAGTTCATAAATTTTCTTGTTCATTTACAATATATCAATCTCCATCGCAGCCGGTGATAAGTTATTTTCGTACTTAAGCAACTTTTACGAACACTAAGACTGTGCAATGCTTAAATACTTACTAAACGACTCAATCCTCATCATTAGTTCTAGCATTAAAAATTTTTGTTACTTATTTCTAGCTTTTAACCGTCCAATCTTATCTTTTATATATTATGCAAAACCAGAGTTTGTATAAAAGTCGGGAAAAGGGTCAAAAAGTCATAAACTTATCGCATTTGTACCAATTTACTTCTAAACCTTTTGGCCTTGTGCCAATTCAGTCATTTCGGCTAATTTTGGCTAGACATTACAGACGTGGACGTCGGTCGACCTATGTGACACCAACGATGACGGCGACCCTTGCCCAGGCAAGGCCAACTCACCTAACCATCGTCTATGGCTAGTCACCAGCAAAAAGAAGAAAAAAGGAAAAAAGAAAAGAAAAAACTAAAAAATATAAAAATATATATATTAAAATATTATTAAAAATTATTCACGTCCGCCAACTGCACGTAGGCTAAATGATGTAAGTAATATCGACCAAAATTAGTGGAAGGACCGAATTGGCACAAAGTCAAACGTTTAAGATTAAATTTGCACAATTAAAAGGTTTAGTTTTAAATTGGCATCAATATAATAGATTTAGGACTTTTTTAATACTTTTCCCTCTAGAAATCTAACACTGCCTTAAAAAAATAACTCTTTTTTAGAAAGAGTAATTACTTTTCAGAGAGATTACGTGCTTTAGGCAAAATTGTCCAAAAAGTCATAAATCTATCGTATAACGATCAATTTAATCCTAAATCTTTCAGTTATGTCATTTTAGTCTTAAACCTCTCGACGATTTACCAATTTAATACAAAATCTTTTCACGATTTGCCAATTTAATGCTTCCAACTAATTTTGGCCGAAAATCGCGGACGTTGACATCAATCTGGCACGTAGGACGGTCAGTACTGACGTGAACACTAGTTTGCATTCTTAAAATGATTTTCTAAATTTTTTATGACTTTTTTTGAATTTCTTCTTATTTTTTCCGTTTTCTTTCCTTTTTTTTTTCTTTCTTCCTCTGCTGGTCACTGAGCCTCAGTGATGGTCAGCGACTAGCAATAGGCAAGGTCTGGTCACCAACCATTGCCAAGGCCCGGTGACCGACGGAGGAAGAAGGAATAAAAATAGAGAGAGAAAACGAAAAGAAAAAAAATCAAAAAATTTACTTAAAAAATCAGAAATTTTTGAAAAAGTGTAAAAGTTGTTTACGTTAGTGCCAGCTGTGCCACATTAACGGTTGGTGTCCACATCAATTATTTCCGACCAAAATCTGCTAGAAGGATTAAATTGGTAAATCGTCTAAAGGTTTATGACCAAATTGGTAAATCGTTTAAAAGTTTAGGACTAAATTGGTAAATTGTCAAAATATTTAGGACCAAATAATTGGCACAATTGAAAGGTTTAATCTAAATTGAGAAATCATAAAAAAGACTAGACTTCAGCTGTCGTACAATAGATTTAAGACTTTTTGAATAATTTTCTCACGTGCTTTAACAACTTATCTATACAATTTTTTTGGCCAACTTTCGACTTATGGTGTCCACCTCCTAAATTACCATCAAACGCTTACAATAAAGTTATGTGTAATTTAGTGAAGCGAAAGAAAGCCTAATGGTGGGCGCTTTCCTTCCCTCAGAGAGGTTCTGGGTTCGAATCCCCGCTCAGTTCCGTAATTTAAGTGGGGGGCCTTGGCGGTGGGTTGCTGGGCTAGTCTCCCCTGAGATATAGGCGCCTCGATTACCTGTGCGGGCTCGTCCCCGGGGAATGGTGGCAGATCCTCGGTTACAAAAAAAAAAAAAAAAGCCTAATGGTGACTTTACGATTACTTGAGAAAAACTAGAACATGAAGGAAATTTAAAAACGTCAAGTCGATTACAACAATTCAAAAATCATGCATGCACCTAGTTTGTGCATGAAGGCTGATATATTTAAGCCAATACACCGTTTTGTCTCGCTTTTTCAGTCTTGGATTAATATCATAAAAAACTCCAAACCGATACATCTGTGATAAATTTACCCCAAACTAATTTTTTGATAACAAAAAATCCTAAATTAGTACACCTGTGACAAATATACCCTCCGTTAGTTTTCGTTAAATTTTACTGTCATATTGGTAAGTTTAAATGACACGTGGCAGTTAATGCATGTATCAATTTGGTGTTTTATCCTCAATTTGTCGCAACTGTACTAGTTTGTGATTTTTTTATTAATCCAATTTAATGGAAGGTAAAATTGTCACAAATGTATCAATTTGGGATTTTTTATGGTTAAAAATTAGTTTTGCCTAAATTTATCATAGTTGTACTAATTTAGGGTTTTTTGGTGGTTAAAAAATTAGTTCGGGATAAATTTATCACAGGTATACTGATTTGGGATTTTTTGTGATATTAACCTTCGGTCTTCGAAAATATCATATATGAAATAATGAAAAAACCTAACAATTACATTCCGGCCACCCCCTTCTTGGACCACTCAAGAACTAACTACCCTCACCAATTTCCACCATTAAAAGGAGTTGCTATCATTTTTCTTTTTAGGGTAACTTTCAATCTATTGTCTTTTTACATATATATTCACTTTTGTACATGAGCCTAATGCCTGTTTAACCCTAGTCCTAACGACCACATCTTTTTTTCTTTCTTGCTTTTACTTAAGTATGAAAAAATTCTTTTTAGTCTGTATATATTGTTTCCAATAAAATCATTTATAATACTCAAATTGTCTTTTATATATATATATATATATATATATATATATATATATATATATATATATATTCCTGATCATCAGTTTTTAACAAATTATATAACATCAATTGAAAAATTCATCTAAAAAATTTATTATAGAGCGGTCGGGCATGTGCCAAGCAATTAGTGTATTGAGTCAAATGCAAATTTTTCGAGTTGATATTAGCACGTTTTGAAGTATTTTTGGGTGTTTCGTGGTAAAAGATATCATTAGGTATCTGCAAGATCTGAAAAAGCTAAAACGTAAAAAACCATTCAAAATGGAAAAATAATAGCAAGTATTTAGTTTAGAGAGACATTTTGTAGTCGATGGGCGAAAATTTGTAGTCGATGGACGGAAATAGAACTGACGTATTTTAAACAGTTAGGATAGAAGGGATATCGCGAAAAATCCAAACTGATACACATGTGATAATTTTACCAAAAACTAATCTTTTAACTACAAAAAACTCCAAACTGCTACACTTGTGACAAGTTTATCTTCTGTCAATTTCCGTTAAATTTCATTGTCAAATTTCTGAGTTGGATGGCATGTGGTAGCTGACGCACATACTAGTTTGGGGTTTTACCCTCTATTTGTCACAGGCGTACTAATTTGTGATTTTTTTTTGTATTAATCAAATTTAACGGATGGTAAATTTGTCACAACTGTACCATTTTGGGGTTTTTGGTAGTAAAAAAATAAGTATGGGTAAAATTATCATATGTATAGCAGTTTGGAATTTTGGTAGTCAAAAAATTAGTTTGTGGTAAATTTGTCACAAGTGTACCGATTTGGTGTTTGTCGTGGTATTAACCTTTACAAAAATGTGAAAGGTCAATCAATAATAAAAAAGATAAAAAAAAATACTCTAATTGCTTGTTTAGATAGATTTTCATTTTACTCTTTTTCCTTAAAATCTTGCGATGGATTTGGTTTTTCCTCAACTCAAAACGCTTGAAACTTTTACATATACAAATGATGACCGGTCTATATATTATATTTATATAGTTTCTTTTCATAATTTCGAAATTATTTCAAATTTCGGTGGAAAGCGATATTTTTTACTTTTTCAAAAAGACAAACAAAAGAATTGCGAGATTCTCCGTCGCCGTGTTTCTTGCTTTCCCAGAAGCACAACGAACAGCACCCGCCGAACCCGCCTCCCGCTCCGTCGTCGCCGGACGAAAAAACCAAATACGCTCTCTCGATCATCTTTCTTCAAGGGTCGCCGCCAGTCTCTCTCCCCTTTCTCACTCCCTAGAGGCACCGCTTCTGCTGAAGAAAGACCAAAATTTCTTTCCTTCTCTTGCTGGGTTCCGGCGAACACTGACCCGCAGCTCGTTCGCCACGAACGAAACAAGTTGCAGAATCGGAAAAACCCTGAGAAGAGGACGGGCGGGCGGGCTCCGTAAGCAAAGAACCTCTGGCCCTTCTTCTTCTCCGGCGAACGAGCAGTTACAGAATCGGAAAATCCCCCCAGAAGAGGACGGGGCTCCGTAAGCAAAGAAGCTCCCTTGCAGAGGGTTCGCCCTTCTTCTTCTTCTTCTTCTCCTCCCATTCTCTCTCTGGACCACGAAGTCGCTTTCCATGACCTCCATGTTCAAAGCTCTCCTCTGCGAATGAACATTCGGGCGCGCGCGTTACCAACCGGTATTAATGCGAAAGACGGGACAAAAAAGGCAAAAAAAAATTGGAAAAAAAAATAGAGGCTTTCTTCCACCGTCCGCTGCGACAGCCGGTGACGGGCAGAGGATGCCGTCAACCGGTTCTCCAGGTTGCCCGGGGATTAGGAGAGGGGACGGACGGACGGACGAGATCGATCCGCTCGGTATCCGACGGCTGTGCTAGGAGGCGGGCCCCACCGGAGGAGCTCAACCCCCGAGGGGGGGGGGGGGGGGGGGGTCGGGTTCGTAGAAATTCTGGCGATTCTCTCTGCGTCATCCATAATAGCACTCACTCACTCGGTCAGCTCTGACTGTCTCTCTCTCTCTCTCTCTCTCTTCGTCGCCATCGCAGGTACAAGGCTCCCGCAGCTCGGCCGCTCTTCTCCGATCGCGGGGCTTAGGGTTTTCTCCGCTCCGTTCTCCGCCGCGGCTCCGGCTGGTAAAATCTCCCGACTCCCTCCCCGATTCCTCTCTTCCGGTGCTGCTGCTTCTGCTCCTGCTTCTTCTGCTCCTGCTCGATGGCTTTTCGCCGGCGGCAATCGCGCCGGAGGTTTCGCGGACTCGCGTCCGCTGCCGAGTCCTGTGATGATGCTCCGTCGTGGTTGTCTCTGTCTATCGGTAGTATCGGATTGGAGCTAGGTGGACTTGTGTTGCTTGGATTTCGAGTGCTTTTTCTTCGTCTGGCTATTGCCCGAGCGTGTTTTTTTGTTTCGTCACAGATTCGATTTTCGTTGTTTTTTTTCCTTTGGCTTTTTGTGCTTTCTGTTCTTCTCTGTTTCGGTCGAGCTTTGTGGCTTTAGTCTGAGTGCGGAAGATGAAATTTTGCAGTGGCTGAGATTTCGTTCCGTCGATTCTTCGCCGGTTTTTGAGTGGGGGCAGTTTCTACTTTCTAGAGTACCTTGAATTGCTTTTGACTATGCTAGAGAACCTTGGTGACCAGGTGGTTTGTGTGTGTTTTTTTCATGGCTTAATGTGGAGTGTTAATTAGCATGATTTAACTTAGTACTTTGTTTGAACGTGGCTGCTGCTGTGAAGGCTTTTGGATGAAATTGAGGCATGCTTTGGAGGAGAAGGGGTACTCCTGAGTAGGAAATAATTTGTGGTGGCAAGGTGGCCTGTGGCTCTACGAAACACAGCTTCCCAGTTTGCAACAACAGTGCCTAAATATACGGATTACCACCAGCAGGTAAAGCCTTTACCGACAACGAAAACCGCAATAATAGCAAATGAAACCACGGTTATGTGAAATTTTGTACTAGTGTTAAAAGTCACCATGTATTATTGTTAGTCAGGGCAACCTTGTTCACCTAGGTGCGTGGTAGAAATCAAAGTGAAAAGATGTGGCAAGCATAAAAACAACTGCAAATAATAATTTGGGAATTCTCGGATATTTTTCCTTTTGTATTTCCTCCGCTTGGTCCTTCTCTCGCTCTCTTATGGTGATCTGTTCTTGAACCAAGATACTGATGCTGATTTTAAGTTGTGTATTATATCTAATGAGTTTAAAGATTCTTGAGCCCTGAAGAAAGAAGATGAGAGATCACATTGCCTACATAACAAGGGACATAAGATTATAATGTGCTTATATATTCTTAGCATACATATATCTGTTTGTCTGTACACAAGTAATGTCTTTAATGTTCACTCATTTTAAATGGTCAATGTGCCTGTGTTTAGGCTTGTATCCTAACTTGTCATATTAATATTGGAACTCACATGGATTTGTCTGTATGATATGCGGAATAACTTATAAATTTTATATAAAAAATTATTTGTCTTCCCATTTTAAATATGGAGTACATCAATTTTAATTACTAAATTATCGTATGCTCTGAAGTTAGCATTAGGTCTCAATTTTGAGAAAGCTTTTGACCAGTTACTATAAGGACACAAACTTTGTGCAGTATAAAGACACAGACTTTCCATATCCATTGTAACTTAAGATGGTGTTTGGAGAATCTGATGTTCGATGGCTTGTCTAATTCAGTAGCTTTCTTGTGGCGTTGCTCTTATTTTGTGCTGATATTACTGGTGGCGTGATACTAAGCTATCTTTTTAAGAATACATGATGATATTGAACTCTGATATGCCAATAATTAGATTTTTTTTTTTGGTTGGAATAATAATTAGACTAGTTCAGTGGCTTTCTTTGTGTCTGTTTGGCCTCTTATCCAGTGACTCTCTTTGTTCTTGGTTGGTGAGGATAGATGATGGACTGTGGCTCGCGTAAGGAAGTACTTGAGATTGTGTCTCCAGAGACCAAGGCCGAGAATTCATGTGGAGCAATCAGTGTATGAAGATGTCACATGCGCAAAATTAACAAAAAGTTAGCTGAGAGGCTCTAGATGTGTGCTTTATCGTAATTAGTTGAATTGGTTGGATACTTGTTAGCCTGCTGTCCAGATAGGGAAGTATTTTGTTAAGATGTACATGTTCAATCTCACTTTTGGTGGAAAGCTAAAACGAATCTACTAGGTTCAATGACAATTAACGACCAAGGCTTTATTTCAGGATACCTCAACTATTTACTTGGAAATGAATATCTCTTGCAACTTAGGACTTTGTACATGTCTGGATTGATGTAAAATAACGGCCGATGTTCTAATATGTACCTTTTAAATGAGAGGATTTGGTGGCAACATTTTGACACAGTATTATGCAGACATGTATTTAGGCTGTGGTTTTTTTAGACGTCAGAATTGTATGTGCCTCCTACATTCTAGATGCTTACATCAGAACTCAGAAGTCCTTTCTTGAAGATGGTTGGGGTCTGTTGGAATTGTTTTTTGATGTATTTATGTCATCTACTTCTCTTGCTCCTGGCTGTAGTAGGTACTCCTGCTTATACATCTGAAGTGAAAATTTTATTTGCGTCATATTTGCCTCAAAGCTCTATCATTAAGTTTGTGTGTGGGGAAAAGGGAGAAGGGAAAAAACTGAAAGGAAGAAGAAGAAGAAAGTGCCTCCTAAAACTTCTATTTCCCTGATTGAGTGTCGGCTCTTTTTGAATGACTTCTACTGTAGTAGAACTTCCTCTTGTCTTATGTGGTGACATGCCCTTATGTGAAGCCTACTAGTTATCAATGCATGGAGGGTGCGTTAGTTCTTCTGCTGATCTCCCGGTGACACGATGCAGATCTGTCTTACGTGAGCCAAGTTTTGGAATTCATTTCTGAATTCTGTTTGCTCAATGTTGATGATTAACCATGTTCTGAGCTCAGTGTACTTCTCAGTCTGTCTTCTTTCTAGTTTTTGGTTCAAGTACTGATCCTATGACAGTGTTTCTTACCGGAAGAAATTAGCGGGATTTTCTCTTACTGCCTTCGAGAACTTATAAGCTTGGCGCGGTGCTTGTTTCATCAGGTACTGTTGACTGATGTAGCTTGTTTTACCGTTGGAACCACTGTTTGGCATGAGCTGCAGTGTTTGCGTGGGCCATCATCATCCCCTTGCGAAATGGGAATGGAAGAAACAGTGGAAGGTGCAAATTCGAAAGGTAATTTAGGGCAAATCACAAGTTCACATAGTGTTAGCTGTATTTAGTATTTAGTGATAGTGTATATCCTTTATAATACAGGAAATATAGGAGTTGTTGATTCGGGGTTCTTTTTTCTCTAGACTTCCTATAATGCTTTCCCTACTTCTTGCAGTAATAATCTCAAGGACAGGGTTTGCAAATTTGCATCATATCTGTTTTTATATATAGAGTTACCCGTGTGAGTGGTGTCAATGCTGTTAATCTTTTAGTAGACTCTTGTTCTTCCCAGTTTTGCAACAAATAACAGTTTCTGCTTTCCCTTTTGAGATATGGAGCCTCCAGCCTCTGAAGCTATTTAAAGTAGGTTGATTGACCCAATTTGACTTGGGGCTGGGCTGCTGGAGTATTCTTTAAACCTGAGTCTGACATGGATGATGGTGGGCATCGCGAAAATGGAAGACACAAAACAGATCAGTATAAAAGTGCTCAGAGCCAGGTATTGAAAGCAAACTTTCATGACGCCTCTTTTATAATGAATTGGCTCTACTACCGAAAAAAAAATAAAATTGGGCTTTGCAAGATTGGTGCTTCTACTCAGTCATCTGCTTTGCGTTGCAGTGGTTGATGCAACATCAGCCTTCAATGAAGCAGATAATGGGTATTATGGCCGAGAGAGATGCAGCTCTTCAAGAAAGAAATTTAGCCCTTTCTGAGAAAAAGGCAGCAATTGCAGAGCGGGACATAGCATTTCATCAAAGAGATATTGCTATTGCTGAAAGAAATAATGCTATCCTAGAACGAGACAACGCCATTGCAACTCTTCAGTATCGAGAAAGCTCCTTGACTAGTGGTAACATTTCCTCATGTCCCCCAGGATGTCAGATTTCTCGAGGCGTGAAGCACATGCACCATCCACAGCAGCAAGTGCATCACGTATCCAGCATGGGTGAAGCTGCTTACGGCACCAGAGATATGCACACAAGTGATGCCCTGCCGATATCCCCAGTTGCATCTGAGGCAACAAGATCACGGCAGACGAAACGGACAAAAGAGGCCAAGGCAATGGCAAATAGTAAGAAAGCTCCAAAAACTCCTAAGAAGGTTAAGAGGGAAACCGATGACCTGAATAAGCTCTTGAACGGAGATGATGGTTATAACAAGCCATTTGGAGTGCCAAAGTCTGACTGGAAGGGTCAGGACCTTGGGCTGAACCAGGTAGCTTTTGATGATTCAACTATGCCTTCCCCTGTATGCTCATGCACTGGACTTGCAAGGCAATGCTATAAATGGGGCAATGGGGGTTGGCAATCTTCGTGTTGCACGACCACCATCTCTATGTATCCCCTGCCGGCTGTGCCAAACAAGCGCCATGCTCGAGTTGGTGGCCGGAAAATGAGTGGAAGTGCTTTTGGCAAGCTGCTGAGCCGCCTTGCAGCAGAAGGCTATGACCTCTCAAGTCCAGTGGATCTAAAGGACCACTGGGCCAAGCATGGAACGAACCGTTACATCACAATCAAGTAGCTGTTAGTGAAGTCTCCAATTTGCAGGAGGAATAAAATGGTGGCACAACTGGTGAATAGGAGGTACATTCCCTTGGTCTTTCTCGTAAAGATATGTGAGGATTCAGTAATTAGCGATAGCCACTAGCGTGAAGCGCAACAATGGTTAGACGACGAACAGATAGGAGATAGTTTGTGTAACATGTTAGACGGAGTCTTTGTGGGGGCACTTTATGATTGTAAAAGTTTCTCTTCACCTCTCTTACCCTTCATGAAACGGGATCCTTGTTATGATGCCTGAAGAGGTGGGATGTCCCCTTGCCCCCAAATATTTTTTAGGCATGCAAAAATTTGCTCTGTAGCCGCCTGGGCTGTAGCTGTAAAATAACTGTAAAGAGTTGAATCTTATGGTTTTGCTGTAACTTTGGAGTAGAAGTGTTGGACTGCGTTCTGTCAAACCATCTGAGGAATTTGGCTTTGTCGGTTTTGGTTGGGTGTGGTTCTGAATCCTTTCGTTGAGTTATGAGCGGTGACTTCAACCTTGAAAAGGCGGTTATGTCATGTTACAAATTGGCTCAGCTTTGGATGTCTGTCTTTGTCTGACTTAACAAATCAGAAGTCTTATGGTTTGTCTTGCGGGACAAGATAAATTTAGACGGACAACTTTCGCGACGAATATAGAATACAAGAGAGATGCCTTTAGGTACTGCCGGTCTTAGTGGATGCAGAATTATCTTTTTCATAGATTGGTGGTAGATTGAATATATCTTGCATACATGGAGGGTTTTTTGCACCAATGTGGTGTTGACTATACAACCCTTTCTCCTATTAACTCATCGAATCTTTATCTTATATACGCAACGTTAATAATGTTACTTAATCGTTGAAAGCAATCAATCATGATAAAGTTAAATGGTAAACCTTATGTGATTCTACTTTTCAAGATTATTATGGAAAAAATTATCCAAAAAATCTTAAACTTATTGCACTTTTGCCAATTCATACTTAAGCCTTTTATTTGTGTCAATTGAGTTTTAAATTTTCACATTTTGTCCATTGAGTCACAATTTTGGTTGGAAATCGCGGATGTAGACGCCGCGTCCTACATGGCACGGCCAATAATTTTTAATAATATTTTAATATATTTTCGAATTTTTAATATTTCTTATTTTTTACTTCTTCTTTTCTTTTCCTTCTTTCTTTTTTTTTTGTTTTTTAATTTTTTTCCTTTTCTCTTCTTTTCTTTTTCCTTTTTCCCTTTTTCTCTCCATTGGCCATCGCCAAGCCTCGTCGATGCCACTGGCCTCAAGTGAGGGCAACCCTTCGCTAGATTGGGCGAGGGCCGTCCTTGTTGGTAGGTGGTGACTCACTCGAGATGCCTAGCGTATGTTTGACAGAATGCTCCTGAGAGGTGTTCGGTTCGAACCTTACTACCATCTTTCATGTTTTGCCTTGTTTTTGGTAAGACTCAAGGCCGAGCGGTATTCGCAATGCTTTTGAGAAATTCATTGAAAAATCTGAGTCGCTATTTGATGATTGGTAACTTTGTTGCTATTCTAAATGCTGATTTCATACAAGAAAAAACTTCAATCTCTCGACTAAATCCAACCATTTCGGTGCATATGAACTGTTCGATGAAATGCCTCCGTAAAATTGTTACTTGTAGATTGAGCATGTTTTTCTTTGAAAAATGCTTCAGCCCTTTTTCATCTAATCTGACCAAGCCCAAACTTTCTAAGGCCTAAACCAGCCCAAAATTTGCCTGTCGTAATTGGGCTGAAGTTTGATGTAAATGAGTTTGGGTCCAACCCAGTTTTAGCAATTGGGCTTCCGTTTGCTCCTTTTCTGAAAAGACTTGAGATTGAGCCCATTTGTGTCCTCAGCCCAAATCAATAAGACCAATGGCAGCCTATATTCTGGCTGGGCACTGGGCCCAGCCCGGGTCCCTGTTTTCTCGATAATAAAAAAAAATATTAAAATAAAAACTAATAATAAATTCCGAGAATAAAAAATTAGAAAATTGCTTAGACAAATAGGCCTTGGTTAGGTTATTAGAATTAGCTTAGTTTCATTTAGTTCATGTACACATGGTTTAGAGTCTTAGTAAGTACCTTTGTTATAGTTTAGTTTTGGGTTAAGGTTAATACCACGAAAAACCCTAAACTGATACATTTATGACAAATTTATCAAAAACTAATTTTTTGACTATCAAAAATCTAAACTGGTACACATATGACAAATTTACCTTAAACTAATTTTTTGATCACTAAAAACCTAAATTTGATACATTTGTGACAAATAATCAAGTTTAGGTGCCGAAATGACACTAGTTAGATAACTAGTTAATCAAGTCTCCGATCCTAGATTTCTAGTTAAGTAGGAAGTGAGGTATACTTTTACACCTCACTTGATTTCTGGCCGACCCCAATAAGTTAGTGGCGACTCTTCATATAAAATTATTACAGGGTTAATGGAATTTAAACAAAAATTCTAACGTCATACGAGGTAAGGATTTGGGAGAACCCATGCCAAGTTTGAAGCCGAGTAGGGACCGTTGGTCCTAACTCGACATTACTTCAAAACCTGTCGTTTTCATCCGATGGAAAAAAAGGTTGCAACAAACTAATATATGGGGAGAAGGCCTGAATTTCAGGTTTGGGATAAATCTAGGCAAAGATCCGTAACACCGATAAAAATCAAGAATATTTTGTTCGAAACTCTTAAAATTTCGGTTTTTCTCTTTCTTATGCTTTTTTTTCTCTGTGTAGGTGTTTTTTTTTTCCAAAGGGAAACAATGTATTCCTTAGAAACCAGTTTTCTCCTGTTTGTGATCTAATTATATCAAATGAAGGATACCAATCTTTTTTTGCTTATACCAATCTGAGTTTATGGAAAGAAGCAGAAATTTCATTTCGTGGAATACTGGAAATTGATAAAATAACTCAAAGGATATATTCATGAGATGTTTTATACCAATCATTCGAATCAAAATGATACACACATTCACAAAAATAGTTAAAAGATCTATTCATAATGTGAAAAGAAACAACAAAACAAGCTCTGATACCAATAAAACATCAATGACCGTTTACTGCATTAGGGATTGGCGTTTCTCTCACGTTGGAAGTTTTTGAATCTTTGCCTCTTCCATTGTCTGTATGTAGACACTCCGGATTAGGACTGATCTGTCATGAAAGACTCGAGCTATTAGCACCCCCAGTGCGTCGACGGGAAAAGTACAAAAGACGTCCACATCTGCGTTTGCCGCGCCACGTAGGACGGTCGGCGTCCACGTCCTCGAGTCCGCCCAAAATTGGATGTATGGACTCAATTGATACAAATATGAAAAAGTTTATGACTAAATTGATCTAATTAAAAGGTTTATAACTGGATTGGTACCGATACAAGAGGTTTTAAGACTTTTTTTGGGCACTTTTCCTGTTCTTCTACCTACTATAAAGATCCTGTAATGCTAGATTACAAACTATTTCCTCTTAAGAAAAGATAGACTTAAAGGTCTATGAAAATATACCTTCGTAGACTTCGGCTTTCCTCTCCAGACAAGCTTATGCTTCTGTGTTACATACCCGTCATCGTTTCGGAGGTTCTTCTATGCTTCTGAAATGCCTCTGCTTCTTGTTGTGGTCATAAACCAGCACTCATATGTCTCATTTTAATCTTACGCCTCCTTGAACTATAGTTTATTTCTAGAAAATTGTATATATTATCCTTCTGAAATAGTGATACTTATGTAAAATTCCTTTTTCATCAAAATAAAAATTTTGAAAGTGAATAATGATACTTAAAGTAAGGGTTTGCTCTAGGCACAAAAGTAAATTTGTTTCATTGATGAAGGCTGCCCAAATTACACGCGAACCATGTCTCCAAATGGTACAAAGAGAGACTCTTCCACAATGCACGAATTGCCATTGAAATCAACAGATTGGAGGGCAACAGAACGACAGCCGTGAACTGTGACGGTGTTAGTTGTAGTAGCGACTGCCTCAACGTGGATCGCCGTCTTCATGCCTTTTTCGCGAAGGTCGGATAACGGACACATGAAATTGGTCGAGCCCGGCATGCTCAGCAGAATGGTTCTCTTGCCTCCGTTGTAGGATTTTAGAGCTTTGCCTCTCCTGCAGCTCACGTAATCTTCTCTCGTTCACCATGTCCACCTTATGGCCTTCCTCGTATTCGAACACTAAAACAAGGATTTTATTTTCAGAGTTCATCTTTTTATTCATTCAAACCCTTGTCTATAATAAAACAGGCGGTCTTTCGATCATTTCTCGGGGAGAATCCTTAGATAGAAGATATTTCTATGTTTTGTTGGTACGAATGCGATGGAACTTTTTTGGCTATTTTTGCACTAAGATAAAGGATTGAACTGCCAGTGAAAGACTTAAGAGCAGACCGATACATCACTTGGAGATGATATGTAGAAGCTATTGTGAATCAAGTAAAAACTTCGAATTTCCAACAAGTTGCCGCCACATCCATTAGGGGTGTCAATGGGTCGGGTCGGGTCGGGTTTTCATGATACCCGACCCGACCCAAATATTAGACATATGTGTTCGACCCGACCCGAAACAAGACCCGAACAAGATAAAGGTACACGATCGGGCCGGGTCATGTCGGGTCGGGTCGGGACGGGTTTTGTGTTTCAAACAATGAATTCAGAGATAGAGATAGAGAGAGAGACGCACATGTCAACATGAAAAGTTGAAAATGTTACGGACCGATAGAAACCAACCCATTTTTCTTTAGAACCATAGCTACAGCAGAATCATTATAAACGCAATGCCATGAGTAACCAGTAGAAGTTCCAAAATTCTCCACTAAACAATCATGTTCATCTCACAAACACGAAAACAACGAAGCCAAATCACACAAGCGCAAAGACCATCGATCACGGAGAAGTGGGCTCACCCTGAGGAGAGGAATGAGGCGGCGATCATTGAGCTCGCAGTAGTCGATCACTCGATCGACCTCCTTCAGAGCGCTCCAACCTTTGGCTATCAGCTCCATGGCCTTCTTGTTCCTGCTGTGCATGCCTCTCTGTGGAGCCAGCAAAGAAAAAGAATGAGGCCGGCGAAGGAATTAAGGCAGAATGTCGACACCCATTTGCGCAGAGAGGATGGTGGAATCACGTACTCGAGGATGGAACATAAACTGACGACTACGACGACGAGGACGACAAGAAAAGGTAAAATTTGAAAAAGGAAAGGAGGAAAGAAGGGTCGTTACATACATGTTGGGAAATCAAAGGGTCAATCTCTGATTCGTGCCCCCGAGACGGCGACGCCTTGGTCATCTTGCGAGGATCGTGAGTCGCCGAGAAGCGATCGCCGCTCAAGAGGTCGTCGCCGATGGCGTCTCTGGACCGCTTGCGGTGGCGGCTCCCAGGGACAAAGACGGCGGCGGCGGCGTTGTTATCGCCGGTCGATGATTTCGCCGCGCAGAACTCAGGGATAATGGGGTATTTCCGGAGGCGGCGGCGCGATGGCCGCGAGATCTGGTCGAGCGGCGTGGTCTCCAGCAGAAGGATGAAATCCTCCGCCGCCTGGCTAGGGTAGAAACAGGTCGTCTCGTTGGTGAGCTTGAGGACGCCGCGGCCGTCGATCTCGGCGACGCCGCTGAGGGTGATGTTGCCGGCGGCGGCGGCACGGTGGAACCCGGGGAAGAAGAAGTCGGTGGTAGTGTCCTGGGAGGAAGAGGGATCTTAAGGGTTTTGGTTATTGTTTGGATTGGCTCATTGTTTGGGTTGGGTTTGGGTACCCAAGCCCAATAGATCCAAACAATACCCAATTCTTTTTACTGTGTTACCAAAATAAGTTGAGACCCAACCCGACCCAATAAGAAAATTTCGTGTTCGGATCGGGTCGGTTCGTATTTCAATTCGGATATTATGTTTGGTTTTGACACCCCTAACATCCATATAAATACTAGTGACATGATGACGTGGTATTATGCGCAGTTAGTCCAATAAAATGCTCTGGCTGATGATTGTCAAGGGTTATTATGCTCACAAGACAAAAGAACGTTCGAAGGTCATTCATTGACGAGGAACTTTTCACCGTCAGCCCAAATCTGATGGTCTCCCCGAGTGCAGCAACCTGTGATCGGGTGTTCCACACAATAGGCCGCCGGAGTGGCTGCAAGCAGAAGAACAAGTAGAGCACTTATGGCCATTTCCATGTTTGAAGTAACTTCTTTCCTAAACATGGGGTAATTTGGGAAATCTTTGCTTCTGAACGACATAAAAAAGGGGAAGCAGATTTTAGTACTCGTTTAGGCTCCATTCGTTTTACAAAAAATAACTTTCAGGAAAATGTTTTCCGGATTTTCTGACGTTCGTTTCACGGAAAATAAACTAGTTATGGAAAGTATTTTCCCTCAATGGAAAAAACCCTTTTAAAAGTGAGGAAAATGTTTTCATCTTTTTGAAAATAGGAAAACATTTTGCCTCTTCCTTCTTTCATCATTCATTTTAGTTATTTTAATTTTTTAATTTTAATTATCATTTTTATTTTTATTTCTTTTCTTCTGTTTTTTTACCGTCTTCCCTGGCCGGTCGTCAGCCACGGTGAAGGCCGTTGACCGGCTGGAGAAGAAGGTTAAAAAACATAAGAAAAAGAAAAAAAAAGGAAAAAAAGGAAAAAGAAAAAAGATAATTTAAAAATCGATTTTAAAAATAAAAAATAAAAAATAAAAAAGTATTAAAAGTAGTGTATGTAGGAAAATTTGATTTGATTTTCCATACCGAATAGCGGAAAATATTTTCCAAATCTTTTTCAGATTTCAACCGAATACCGGACAATTGTGCTATTTTCCTGGAAAATAACTTCTTGGAAAACATTTGAAACGTTATATTTTTCGTGAAACGAATAGAGCCTTAGTGTCAAAGGAGTTCCATAGTTCGCTTGTTTAAGAGAAAATAAATTCTCTTCACGAATGTTCTCCGACGAAATAATTGTGAAAAAAAAAATCAATCTGAATTTCTGTTATTTGGTTGGCACCTGCAATCAAGTTTGTGGTCATGTTAAAGGATTTCTTGAATTGCACTTTGGCACCATGTTAAAGGATTTCTTTACCAAGCCAGAAGCGTTGGGTTTTGGTTTTAAGTATATACATGTCTATTCACACGAGTACACAAAACGTGCAAAGGTAGATCATGGCGAACTTTTCACCGGATGAACTAAGGGTGCGTTTGTTTTGCGAAAAATTAAATGATAAAGGAAAATGATTTCTAGAAATGACATGTGTACACAAAACATGCAAAGGTAGATCATGGCAAACTATTCACTAGATGAACTAAGGGTGCGTTTGTTTTGCGGAAAACTCAACGATAAAGGAAAATGATTTCCCGGAAAGTATTTTCCAAGAAAACAGTTAGTTTTCCTTCGTTTGGTAATATGTAATCGAAATCGTTTTTTGACGTTTGGATTTTATTGGAATATGATTTAAATCTCATGTCTTTATCTCAGACAAAAAAAATCAAAATTTTTAATTATTTGTATTTTGATTATTTTATATTAAAAAATCGAATTTTTAATTATTTTTTTCTTTTCTTTTTCTTCTCTATCCTTTTCTTTCCTTTTCTTTCTCCTCCTTCCTCCGCTGCGACCGGCCGGCGACGACCCCAATTGAGCTCGAGCTCACCGGCCTTTGGCGAGTTGTGAGCCCGAGCTTGCCTGGATCTGGCGAGCTATGAGCTCGTTGAGTGAGCTACAAGTCCGAGCTCGCTTGGATTTGGCTAGCCGCTATCTCGCCGGCCTCGGCTGAGCCCTAGCTCGCCTGGATTTGCCGAGCCTCGAGCTCCCCGGCCTCGGGTGAGGTCGGGGAGAGGTCGAGGCGAGGTCGAGGCGGCGAGGTTGAGGTGAGGTCAAGGCGGTGAGGTTGAGGCGACGAGGTCGGGCCTCGCGCGACGCCGGCAAGCTCGAGCTCGCCAGATCCCGGCGAGGCTCGACCTCGTTGCGTTGAGGCCGGTGATACTCTAGCTCACCGGGATCTGGCGAGCTCGGCTGTCGCTGGCCCGCACTTGAGCTTGGCCGCCGCCAATGCCGGCGACCAGCGGAGGGAGTGTCGTGCCGCCGCCCTCCCTTGGAGCACGCTTGGAGGTACTTTCGTTCATCACGAATGGAAAGGTATCTCATCACTAGATGAACAACGGTCTCTCCTCGACCATACCTAACGAGACAACAAGTATTTGTTTTTCTAATATAGTCTATTTAGTATACATTTCATTTTAGAGTCGCCACTAATCTTTAATGGTAGACTAGAAACCAATCGAGACAGGGGAGATGTGACATCCGCAATTTTCTTCGTAGTTTCTAATATTTAAGATATTTAGTAGTGAGAATTATTAAGTTAAGAAAATTAGTTTAGCAATTGTCGACGGGGACTGATACGCTCCAAATTACGTATCGAATGAATTTCAAGCATTAAAAATTTTATTGAGTTAAGGTGTCACTTCTATACTATACTTTTTATTTATGATTTTAGAGGTTTCAAAATAATTTTCTGATTTACCAGCATTTCAAATGAATATCAATTTCTCCGTTTATTTAACGCAATGTATAATATATACTCAAAATACTTTAATATCTTCCTCTATTCAATTAAATTATGCTTGGAAACCTAAATTTATGACATCATGCATGACCAATAGTTAACCCTAGTAAGTTTTTATCTAGATATAACTATAGTTACTTGTCATTATAGTCTTTAACCCAAGTAAATTAATATAACCCCAAAATGCTTTTAATTATGGTAAAATTTTGAGGCTTCAGAGCACTTCCTCTTATTCTTCTTCTTCTTCACGTGTATCAATCCCTTCTTCTTCTTCTTCTTCTTCTTCTTCTTCTTCTTGTCCTTCTACTTCCCGACCAGATTTTCTTTCGGCTCTCTTTAAAAAAAAATAAAATAAAAATAAATAAATATATATATATACATATCAAAGTTCAAGCTCACTTTCAACCTAGCTTCTTGACAAGGTATATTGTTGAATTTTTCTTTATCAAATATGCTTTGTTGTTTTCACAAGAATAGATTTGTTAATTGTTACTATCTATTTTGTTTTAAAGGTGGTTGGAGGTTTGCTTTGTTGAAGATTTCACTTGGATAAGTGAAAACTCTAAGGCTAAGCTAGAATGACTTATTTAGTGCTCTTGATCTTGGTTGGTTGATTGTTTGTTGTTTAGTTTGGATTTTATGTTATGTGTGAGCAAATTTCAATAGTGTATGTTATACTATTGTGATTGTTGAGCTTGAATTACAAACACTACAAAAAAAGTTGGTTTTAGCCATGAATTTTGCCATGAAAAATTTGGCAAAATTCATCGCTAAACGAATTTGCGACGGAAAAAAATTCGTCGCTAATAGGCCGTCGCAAAATTTTGCGACGGAAAATTTCAATTTTCGTTGCTAATTTGCGACGAAAAAAAATTTGTCACTAATTTTTCGTGGCAAAATTCGTGGCTAATTTGCCACGAAACAAAATTCGTCGCTAATTATTCGTAGCAAAATTCGTGACTAATTTGCCACGAACTGTATTCGTGGCAAAATTCGTCGCTAATTTGCCACGAAGTGTATTCGTGGCAAAATTCATCGCTAATTTGCCACGAACTTTATTCGTGGCAAATTATTCGTGGCAAAATTCGTCGTTAAATATTCGTGGCAAAATTCGTCGCTAATTTGCCACGAACTGTATTCGTGGCAAAATTCGTCGCTATTTTTTTCAAAATTTTTTTTTGTTGGTCGAGAAATTGCGACGAAATATTTTCGTGGCAAAAATTGTTGCTAATTATTCATGGCAAAATTTATCGCTAATTTGCGACGAACACATTTCGTAGCAAAATTCGTGGCTAATTTGCCACCAAATTTTTTTTTTGTCAGTTTTTTGCGACGAACTTATTCGTGGCAAAATTCGTGGGTAATTTAAATTACCCACCAAAATGAATGTATTTCATTTTCTTATTCGATTTTAAATGTAATTTAAAGCAAAATTAATTTCTAGAAATTGTATTTAACATTGATTAAGCACTTAATAACATCAAAATATTATAATAATATGAAAATGAAATACATTCATCTACATTTTCCATGTACTTGAACATATAGCTCAATGTGATCAAACTATTATAATAATATGAAAATGAAATACATTCATCTACATTTTCCATGTACTTGAATATATAGCTCAATGTACTTGAACATCCTTGGCAAATCTCCCCCTCCGCATATCAACACATAGCTCAATGTACTTGAACATAATCTTCTCAAGGGTATTTTGCCATGCTCGGGATCTCTTCGAGGTAATAAGATCGTGAAGTTCCTGCAGAGCATCTTGCTTCTTCTAGGATCCATGCAGAGCATTTTCTGGAATCCAGCAATTGCATCAGTGATAAGAATGCTGGATTGGCAATTTAATATCACTTCATACATTTCATTACATTGGTTCAGGGCACCAAAGGAGACATGATCTCGACCCTCATCTACAATTTTCAGTAGAGGATGGTCCATTACCAGTTTTTATAGGTTCACTGATAGCAAAACATACAATAAGGTCAACAGTGTAAAGATCACTCGCCTATCAAGGAATGCAATCAGACATCCATGAAGATATTTTTAACCCATCTTTGCAAACGCAGGGTGTAGTCCACTGTGAATAAGTCTAATGCATTAGCCATTTAATGGGGAAAAGTGCACAAACAGTACTCGACGTTTTGGTCATTGCAGAATTAAGATTTATTCTGCCATATAGAAGATAGCACACCCAAACAAAAAGAACCAAGATAAGTTACTGCAATATTGTTCTGTAAATTAAAGCTCAAATAAGCTTATGACACCATTGTGAAAATTACACAAAGCATAAACCTCCACGAGGGTAAGAGAGCTCACTCACTTTTATCGTGCAGATGTCCTTAGAAAATTCTGGACATGAATCCATGTGCTTTTTCAAGTCCAAGTCCAAGTACTCAAAAACTAGATATAGACGCCTCTCACTGTGCACTACATCCTGCAACCTGCCACTCATAAGCGTATGAGCTATATTATGATTGAACCATAACAAAGACAAACAGAACTTGCATATTATTTATAGTGAACTAAAAAAAAATTTCATATATAAGCATTGATCAGTCTCCTTCTCTACAAAATCCAGAACTACAGAAAAGCGACCTAGTGAATCAATTTATTGGTATGGACAACATCATGCATTAACAGAAACTACTTGAAGCATCCAAATAGCGTGATTTTTCCATGTCAGACATATTAGCCAGGATAATCCAAGCATCCAAATAGTGTGGTCATAATCGCTTGAATAGTTTATCACGTAATATCTATTTGCTTGCCACCATTCACAAGTGCTGGGTACTATTGCATTATCATGTGTGATCAGCAAGCATGACCAACAACATGGAAATTTAGCAAGCATTTACTAAATAAGATGCAGAGACTCTCCCAATGTAATTCATCAATACGTTACATATTGCAAATAAAAAACTTAAGTAAATGATGACTTCCCTCTTCCAGTTAGCAGAAACTCATACGACATAAATTGCAAGACCTTCTAGGCAAGAATATGTACCAGCTCAATTAGATTTCACAAACATGGACAGACTTGAAATTATAACTTCAAAAATAAAAATAAAAAACTAAGCGTTTATCCTAAGGGTTGGGTGTAACATCTTGCTCCTGATTCCGACACCTAATGTTGTACTTACAGAACAAAGTAAACCATCTTGAAGGATAACTTCCCACGTCTAGCTATACATCTTCAGGATTTTGCAGGAGCACACCCCTTACTTCTGACCTGATAGAAAATTGACGTTACTAGCCATACTGAAGTAGCTCAATCAGTAAAATCAATAAGAATAAACAGCTCAGTATTACCTCCTATGAGCAGGGACAACGCAATTAGTCACTCTTTTTGAGTTTGCATCTTGTGCTACTACTTTCTCTGAAGTTTGATAAGTAAAAAAAATGTAAGGTGGTTAAACTGAACAATAGATCATGAAAAGGCACTGAAAATGTAAAACGAAGCTGTATTTGTCTTTAAAAATGCCCAAACTCTAGTCCACCCAAACTCAGTCAACGTGAATCAGTTATATGTGTCCTTATACATCATCTCGTAAATGAGTCATAATATCCTCCCTTACTTCCTGGTAAACTCATTTTTCCAATGTCACTGCCCAAATGAAATAGCTTCTAGTGGTGCAATCACTGCTTTTTACGAGAATAATATCAAAAGCTCATCCTTCACTTGAAACCACAAGTTAATAGAGACAATTACAAGATCACAGAAAAACCATAATCAATAGCAGCAGTTTGTGCATTGTTATATTCTAAGAATGCAAGATAACAGAGAAGAGAGCCATTACCTGTAGAAGGGTCTGAAGCATCTGTCATGGCCAAAGCGCTTGTTATGGGCAACTTCTGCTTCTTCGAAAATGACTCAAGCTTGTTCTGGATGCTTTCACTCTTCTCCCGACAATAGGAACATACCACAGGATTCAGATCAAGAACATGCATAAAAACACTGAGTGATACTTAAATGATTGGAGCAGGGACATTACTTATAAAAGAGAAATTTGCATCGTCAGTGAGAGAAAAAGTACACAACTATTGAATATCAACAATACATAGAACTATATCCTACCTTTTCAGCAGTTACAGGCTTTGTCAACTGGCGATTGCGTTCTTGTTCTGAAGTGACAAGCAAGAGAATGAGCATCTATCCAACGAAAGCTTCAAAAAAATTAACACATGAAGCACTACCTTTTGCAAGTGAAGTCTGAGTGTTCTTGAGCATCTATCCAACGATTGCTTTGTCCTCTCCATTTTCTTCCTTTTCCCCAGGAAAAAAAAAAGGAAGAACACCCAAGAAAGAACTCACGCCGATTCGAGCCTCGCCCCGCTATTCGCAACAGCATAGAAAAAGGACCAAAATTGCACGTCTATTCTCAAATTGGAGAACTGGGTCATTCATCAAACACTTGCAAAGCACCCTATCCTGACCCATTTACCCTATAAACTCACAAACATCATCTCCATTTCTCGATCAAGACTATACGCAATTCTAACGAAACAAGAGCAACGACAACCATTACAATAATCCGACGATGTATCTAT